CGGAGCCCCTCCCCCGCCAACATGTGTACTATAATATGTGATGCAAATAAATATTTTTCTGAAATGTACATGATATCGGAAAATGTACTGTGTCGAATATTACCGTGGTCAATCGTACGGTGGTCAATCGTACCGTGTCGAATCGTACGGTGTGCTATTCTTGCGGTGTCCAATCGTACTGTGGTCAATCGTACCGTGTCTAATCGTACGTGTCCAATATTACGTGTGCAATCGTACTGTGTCCAATTGTACCGTGGTCAAATGGACGTCACCCGATCCAACCCATTCTTCTTCTTCTTTGCTTCTATGGCGCACGCCCCTGTACGTGAGGAGCAAAAGCCAGTCTGAGACAGATTGATTGAAAGCGCGATACTAAGAATTTTATTTCAGGTGCTACATTTCTAGGGAAAAGGGTAAAAGGAACAGGTGTAATAAAGATATGGAGTGGTTATAAATTCTGTAGGAAAGGATCATGGAGGTAAGGCCTGGTTTATGCGAGCAATAACTGGTCTAGTTTCCACCGTACCCTCAATTCGGTTTCACTCCGGTACTGATCAAATTTAGTGTTCCGTTTCCATTGGAAGTAGAGTACTTATAGATCGAAGCGGAAGTGATATCAGCGCAATTTGACAGGTTTCCATCGACTTGAATTTGATTCTACGTCGCATTAGGTGTGAATTAATGCTTCGGTGGAAACTAGACCACTGTTAACTTATGCCGGAACCGGTAAAGTTTAACTATAGGATTCCAATACTTCTGTTTATACGCATTCGGCAATTTCGTATAAACAGAAGTATTAAAATCATATAATCAATCAATCGCTCGTGAAAAGTTCAAATAATTAGAAGGCCGATACGAGCAGTAATACAGGAACTTCGTGTATAAATAATAGACTTTTTATTCAAAAAAAAGATCACAAACGTTTCGGTCCGCAAGTTTTTTCACCTTCCTCAGTGTGAAATATTACATCTGATGAAAATATTACAGAATTAGGGCCTCCGCACAAACTCTTTCTTAACGCGTTACGTTACGTTAAATATTAGTTTGTGCGTTGAATGACGTTCAAGTTTACGTACAAATCTAAGTTCGTAGCCAACTTAACGTAACGTAACGCGTTAAGAAAGAGTTTGTGCGGAGGTCCTTAGGCCTGGTTTATGCGAGCAATAACCGTATGCCGGTAACTTACAAACTGTTAACTTATGCCGTAAATTTCGACGCTCTGGTTTATGCGTATAATTTAGCTTACACTTTGAGTAAATTCGTGATCGTAGGTTGCGTTCACATTGTCCAATCGCATTATGGTTATATCTAGCAAATCGACCAATACGACAGAACATCGTTTTTCACCAAATCCGATCTTACGTTCGTTATCATTGCAAGCGCCAAGTAGGACTTTTTTTGAAAAATAGCGAGAGAAACTGTGTTTACAAATTTATTATTTTTTATTTGTTAAAGTGTAATACAATGAATGATGTAATAATATGTGGGATGTTTTTGACAATCATTGGTTTAGCATATTGTACAAAAAAGAAAAAAGTCGCAAGAAGAAAACGTCGGTGGAGTGTACGTCCAATAAATAAAAAAAGAATACTTAAAGGACATTTTCATAATTTGTTTTATGACATGAAAAGAGTTGATAAAGAACAGTTTGTAAAATATATTAGAATGTTGCCCGAATGTTTTTATAAATTATTGGATCTTATTCA